TCCTAGCGGATTATATTGAGCGCTAGTAACATTTGATGATGCAACGGCCTCCTGACCCGAAAAGATGTGGGGCTCCTGAAAACAAATGAAAGAACGCATTTTTTGACACTGTTATAACAGAATATTGCAGTACTAATCAGTTATTTATATAGGATGATATAGTACTATTGCACAATATTGCATCATAACCATGGTTTGTGCTCCTTTTGCCTTAGAAATCCATAGCTCCAATAAGGCAATGGTAGTTTGTTTGCGGCCTTTTTCTTTTCCCAACAATCCAATGGCTGATCATTCACAGCATGAGACATAGAATGCGTCGTTGAGGCAGACCAGTTTGCGATGGCACAGAATATGACCTACGTACCAACAGTTAACGATGCATAACATAAAACAGTGATGTACGATATGAACGTACTGTTACCAGTCTGGACGGTGGATGTTTTGCAGCGCTATTAAAGCTTTAGGTGATAATGGATGCAACAGTCTTGCAGGAGAGAGAAGATGCCTCTGTAATAATCTCTTGCTACTTCGCCAGATTGACGCAATATATTCACACCGTTCCCTTGCTATTAGTGGACTGGCCTAGGGAACCGTTTTAGCAGTTCGTGGTTCCATGTTCCTTTTGACACCTGTCACATGTTGCTGCACAATGGCGATTACGCTGTATGAGTCCAGAAAAGTGACAGAAGATTGTTATTCCTAACGACGGTGTCGAACCCAAGGAGTTTGCTGGAAAACGCATGATACCTGGGTAAATTTTTATCGTATATGATTGCGGACCGAGGTTTATCCGTTTGTTGGTGTTCAAACGTTTTTTGTTCAACACCTCAAAGTGATGCGGTTTCACACACATGCAATGCAGGTGCTAAAATACCATGGAGCTGTCGCCTGCTTGAATGCACCTCTACGCTGTTAGATGAGAGGAGACGGTGCATCAACGCCAGGCGAATCTGGAGAAGTGAGAGTAAATTGTGGTTCTTGCGCCAGTTTTGAAAACTTACAGACTCTTTGCAAATCTGTAGTACAGGGTTGAAAAAAAAATTTTTTTAAATCATATCCCCTTTAATAATGCATTTAAGTTCATCAGAATATACAGAACCGACATAGAGACCTCTTAGAGGTTTTGACTTAGTGTGAGCCATAAGTGTCCTAGGGTGTATATGCGTCAATTAATGAAAGGCAGGTGAAAATTCGACCTGCTCTCTACACGATGGTGCTTTATTTCGAACGGTAGCATTAGATAGATAGTACTGTCTACTGTAAGGTTCTGTATAATGTTCTTATTGAGCTCTACCGTTTATTTCCACTTTATTATCAGTGCAGAAAGTAGTCGGTTAGTCATTATACAACATACTTGAAACAAGTTTTCCTACTTAGGAACCTATTTTCCTCTTCAGTCTAATTATAGTTGACGTGGTATTTTATTTTATCTTATTATAATTGAGATGATGCACTTGATGTTTCTTGCAGCATGCTCTGTTGCCATTACGAATTTTTCAGTTTGTGAAAATCTACGTTTTCAGCGTTAGCATTTACCAGGTAGCTAATGTTATTGTATGGTTTTGAAGTGAAGTATAAATTCTCACGAGTTCTGCTTTGTGTTAATTTTTGTTTATTTATAGAATATGCGTGGTGCACCGAAATTGTGGAAAGTATCGAAGGGATTCTTGAACGGAGCCTGCTGTGCTACCAAGCTTCCAGAAAATGCATATCGGATTGCGCTGAAGAACGTGGGCGTCCGGCTGCCACGAGCGAGAGTTCTGTTAAAAATGCCTCCTCAGGCCTATCCACCTACGTTGTCGATCACGTATTACTTTCCAAACGCTTAGGGAATGCGATGAACGAGTTCGCCGTTTATTACATGAATCAGTCAGCAGTGCTGGCGGAAAGCTTGAGAAGTAAGTTTGAATTAATGAGATAGTTTGCTTTATGATCATTAAAAGTTAATCAGTTGTAAGTCTAAACCACCGCTATCAAGAACTACGACTGCCTGACAGTCACAGCCTAATTTCCATTTATACCGGCGAATGGGGTTATCAACTTTTTCCATGATATGGCGTCACTCATCCACCAGTGAAAAACGTACAGTTCTTTGAAAGTTTGACAGAATTGTATGAACCTTGAATAACTGCACAGCCGTATGCTAAAATCACAACTTACAGTAAAATAATTCAGGAGAATTATTTTACTGTAAGTTGTGATTTTAGCGCTTTCTTGAAGCAGCTGTTTTGAATCTGATCTGATTATAGGGTCGAAGACAACTGATTTGACAGCGGTCGAGAAGATATGGAATGTCAGCTACAACATGTTCCAACAAGGCATTCGAATGTTTCACGAAATCGACGACAAAGACAACCAGGCGTTGCTCAATTCGAACTGCGGCAAACTGTTTCGTTTGTCAGCCGAAACCTTCTGTGTGTCCAACCGTGAATTCAGCGTTGTCGAAAGGCATTACCTCGATATGGTGCGTCATATTTTCGTTGCGATGAGTTTTAAGTCAACTAGAGTTTATTTTGCGCTAGATTGTTCTATAAAAATCACTCATACAAATCGTTAGAAGTCGAATTGAGCAACAAAGTTGCCCCCTTACTTTCAGACACTTGAGGACGAGGGAAACTTTTATGCAGGACAAGGTTCAATGATGTTTAAACACCTTCAGTTCATAAATGCACAACAGGATCAAATGGCTAGTTTGAACAACGTATGAGTTCGTTGCATCGACGAGAAGTTTTAAAATCATAAGCATTATTTCTATTATTTTAGCTTGTTTTCCATGACTAAGGCATCTACTGAGTCTCACAGTTAATGAATTTTTCTATGGGTATCTTGTTTGGATACCATATTGAGAAAATTGTATTCAAAAGTTCCACTGTTTAATGTCATGCAATCGTGCGCTGTTGTTTGCAGCTTTCGCCCTCGCGTCCGCAGAATATATCTTTTCCATTTGATTGTTCAGTTGCATCGTACGTTAGGTTTTCGCGGGTCATTCAACGGGTTTGCGGCGGAGGATACCAGCAGCAAAATGGTGGTCGGTTGATAGCTCTGCGTCTCTCTTAACGCGAACATCCATTACAGAGCGTCGTAAGTCTGACGATACGATGATCAAATCGATCATTGACTTCTGTGCACAAGCTTCTCGGTACGAGGTGTACTAATGCACTTATGCTCGAAGAAGGTGTTCATAATGGACAATTTGTTGTTTGCACAAAACCGCAACAACTTTATGCGGTTATAGCTGAGGTCGTTAGGGTCGTTTTTTCCAATCACGCCATTCCACTTTTCAGCGTTTACTCGGACATGCGCATTAAAATCGCTCATGAGTATGAGGGACTCTGTATTCGACACTTCGGACAGACCACAGTTTACTTCTTCAAGGAAGGTATTATATTCTCCC